ACCATGAAGAGATTTTTCGAGTTGTGCAAGGTGGGAAGCAAAATGGCACAATGGTTGTTGGTTACAATGCATTTAGATGCAAAGGGTCATGTGGATCAAAAACTCATCATTTGCTGCCAATAGGAGAAGGGTTATTGGTGACTAGATTTGGAGCAAATGGCACAACTAGTCCAAAATATGGACCTGAAATAAGGAAAAACAGAAGCCATTGGGTTAAAAGGGTAGATAAATGCACTGGTGAAGAACATGTTTACAGGGTCAGATTTCCACAAGGGAAAGTGATTCAAGCATAATCATATAATCATTTTCCATCTATTTCTATGGGGAAATGGAGTATTAAATTTTGATTTTTATTAAGAGCATGTAGGAGTTAGTCCTATTTGAAATGTATATAGCAAATTATAAACATATATTAGATAAATCGGTTTGAAACATTTCTTAGACTTTGCATAAGAGTGACCAAAGAGATAAACCAGAGTAATTGTTTTTGTCCTCTTTGGCATACATGAAATGGACACAACAAAAATTACTTAATAAAAAAATTTCTTTTACACATTATGTTTCATAGATACTTGTAAAATTTAGAAAATAAATATCCGATTAATTTGATTTTGGGTAAACACCAACAAGAAAATGCAAAGGCTGATTTACAGAAAAGATTGATTCTTAACATGTCATTTTCAATGAATTTTATAAAATAATACAAACATGGATGTACAGGATTAAAATGACATTATTTCAAAAAAATGACAAAAAATAAAACTAAGATAACTAAAATTAAATCAGAGAATAATACTTAAAATATCAAATGCACGCAAATGAAACAAAATAACAATATATTTTAAAAACTACACTATTTAACGTGGTGAAAAATACATTTTGGGTAATTGAGCATGAGAAATGAGGAATTCTATTATAACAAGAAATAAGACAAAAACACGTAAAGACAAAAAGAAATTAAGCGAATAAGGAGTAAAAGAAAGGAAAAAAGCATAACATGAAAAAAATTATTAAAGAAATGTTTGGGTTTATAAACTAGTAACGTGTCATAAAAAACAAATTTTGAAGCTAAGACATAAGATTGGTGAAATAAATAAGTAATATTAAAAATTGAGGTTATATTCTAATCTTAAGCTAAGACATAAGATTGGTGAAAGAGTAAGGATGTGGAACATGTAAAGACGGGGAAATTGGTTTTCTTATAAAATAAAATAATAATCATAAAATATTACAATTAAACTTAGTTGATAAGAGTTGTCATACTTCAATAAGAATGTAAAAAATCTTCATAATTTGATAAAAATAAATAATTATATAAATATTTAGTCGAGAAGAACTGCCATGTGATGACAAAAAAAACTTTATTATCACTAAAAGAGTAAAGACAGCTTTAACATAAATGCAATTAATCTCTACAATTGATGAAAATAAATAAAGTATACAAGGACTTAATTGATAAGATTGTGATAATAGATAAACGGGAACTTACACTTTCTTTGGTTGGAGGAGGAAGAAAATAAGAAGACAAAAATATATGAGAAAAAGTGAAAATAAAGAAAAAGATGAGAAATATAGTATATTTTAGTGTTGTTTGGTTATATGAAAAAATAATAGAAAGAAATGAGTGTTTTTTCCACACTCTTCCCTGAACAATGATTTGTTGTCCAAAATTATGTTTCAAATCATGTTCCGAATTAATGAAAACATTTATGTCAATTAAAAAAAATTATAATATTCATTATTTTTTATTTTTCTGCTTCAATATCATTGTCCTCTCATGAAACAAATTTGATGGGTCCCACCTTTTTCTTTCTCTCCCTTCAAACTTCTCCCTAAACTAAATAAAAGAAAAACTCTATTTCTTCTAAACTTCTCTCATCTCATTCTCTTTCTCTTCTTTTTCTTTTTTTGCTTTATCAAGTGAAGGCTTAATCACAAAGAAAGCTTACAAAAATATGCACAAATAAGAAAATCCAAATTGGAAGCTTCTAAAATATTTATTAAATAGAAATTTGGATTAAATATAAAAAAATTATATTATCATTAAACACTTAGAGGAAGGTTCTTACCAAATATTTTGAAATTGTGAGAAAATAATTTTAGAGGGACCTAAGACAGAATGACCCCTATTTCAAGTAATATATATTTATTTCCACTTAAAACAAAATTTAGATTGCTTACCAAGAAAACTTTCATTAAAAGTTAGAGGAAGGATAGAAAAAAGTGCAATAATCATGAACATAAAGATTTATGCCCAACATTTACATTATCCATCATCATTTAGATTTTTTCAAAGAGTAAAAGATAATTGAATATAAATGGTGAATAATATAATAATAATAATGTATATTCATGTACTATGTACACATTTTTTCTTTCTAGAATCACCTTTTCAAATCTATTCTTGTATATGGAAGGTGTTATTTTTTTTTTGGTATAAAATATTATTTGCATTATCATATTATTATTATTTTGAGAAAAATGTACCCATTCAAAGTTTATAACTTTTTTATATATTACTCATGATTAATATTTAATTATGCACTTTGAAAAACAATAATTCAAATGAATATGAGTGATTGTAATTTATGTGCAAGGCCAATTGGAATGCCCCACGAACTACCATGTCTAGAGAGATTCCTTGTCTACTATTTCTCTATATATAACCCAAAGAATCATAGCCAAAACACACAACATTTTCATCAACAAAGTTTCAATATCATCTTCATACAACAAAAGCCTCAGAGGTCATAAAGAAGCAACATAAATTCAAACCATGTCTTGTTGGTCTGCAGAAAATGCCACAAAGGCCTATCTAAGCACTTTGAAAATGGTGAGTATTATATTTTTCTCTAATGTCTCAAACTAAATTCCTAGCTATTAGTTATTTCAATATCATCATTATAATTTTTTGATCTGATTTTTTTGGTTTATTTTTCTTAGAGTCAAAGGGCTAAAGAACCTGCAGTTGCTGAGTTTATATCAGCATTAGCAGCTGGAAACAATGCACAAGTTATGGTTGTTGCATGTGCTACTGTAGTTGACTCAACAACCTTAGCTTTAGTTGCTGCTGCTAATCAAACTGGTGGACTTGTTGTTTGCATTGTCCAAAGCAATGAAGAACTAAAAGCCTCAAAAAATGTCCTAGGAATGTTTTCTTGTCAAGTTCAATTCATTGTTGGAGATGCAAAGGATATTTTATTGAACCAATATGAGGCAGCAGATTTTGTACTAATTGATTGTAACCTTGTGAACCATCAAGAGATTTTTCGAAGTATCCAATGTAGGAAACAAAATGGCACAGTGGTTGTTGGTTACAATGCCTTTAGATGCAGAGGGTCATGGAGGTCATGTGGATCAAAAACTCAGTTGCTGCCAATAGGAGAAGGGTTATTGGTGACTAGATTTGAAGCAAATGCCACAACTAGTCCAAAATATGGATCTGAAATTAGGAAAAACAGAAGTCATTGGGTTAAAAGGGTAGATAAATGTACTGGAGAAGAACATGTTTACAGGATCAGATTTCCACAAGGAAAAGTGATTCAAGCATAATAATCATATAATCATTTTCCATCTATTTCTATGTGGAGTATTAAATTTTGATTTTTTATTGAGAACACCTAGGAGTTAGTCTTATTTGACATGTATATTGAAAATTATACACATATTAGATGAATTGTTCTGGAAGAGTCATCATACAAAACTAAATTGTGAAATGGGCACAACAAAAATACCTTTACCAAAGTTTTCTCAGTGGAATGCTCAAGTTCTAGATGTTTTAAATTAACAGAACCTATAATTTTTTCTATCTACATTAACATAAGGATAAAATATTTAGGATTAACAATTCTACAATATCAATTAGCCAATTTATTCTGTACACTTTCTGCACATTCAGAAGTTTTATACTGACCCAAGTTTTATACACCCTCTTGCACCTTCCCTTAGATGAAAAATGTTTCATACTGACACAAATACATCACCCATGTGAAAGAAAAAGAAACACCAAAAACAGTCCCTAGCAGCAAAGTACAGATAACAGGCTGTACACACAACACAACAATAAAAGTCCCTTAATTAGGCTCATTGTTTTGTGCTATATACTCATTATAATTAAAACAATCTCCTAGGACTTCTACCTGCTCTAACGTGGGGCTTGTGGTTTTGTCTACCCAAATTACAACAAAAACCTTCATATAATGCTGGTTGCATGGACATGTGTGCTTAAGAATCATGCAAGTGTAGAATAATTATTCATTTAGCTAGCACTCAACAACAGCTAATTGGTGCTAGCATGTTTAGGGAATCACTGACTCTATTATTAACATGTGATATTGTAACACATTGTCTCTAGGAATTACAACAATGAAAATGTGATTGAATTGGAATGGTGGGAATCAATGGACAATGAAAATGTGGTTTTGAAGAAGGTGAAGACAAGACCTATTACATAATAGTGGAAGGATTAATATTCTTAAGACCTTGCAAAGAAGAAAAATGGAGAACAACAATAAAAACCAACCACATACAAAAGATAAAAAGTGATGATTCATAGAACGTGTACTAGGTTGTTGGCAGGTTAGATTCCATAGTATGTTGTATGGATTCATATACACATGCCAAAACAAGTAGAAGATCATTCAACCACAATCCTATGAGCCCAATAACCCAATATGTTGGAATGGCTAGTCCACACAAATGAAAGAGGGTACAAGTTTGTTGTCTTCTATTCTACCTCAATGTTTCTTATCTCTGAAGACAAGAGGACCACATTGTTTAAGTCTCTTTAATGGTCATATGGAAATTAACAATACCAAAATTTGAAGTTTTCCATTAATGTCTAGCTTGGTATGAGAGTAAAAAATGGATGTAAAATTTGTGGTAAGTTTATTACTAAAAATGATTAGCAAATAAAAATTAACCACCTTGGAAATGTAGAGACACTATAATACTAACATGGTTTTGCTCTATCAATAAATCATGATTCATACTCTATCAAAATGTGTGACCATACAAACGATAATCGACCAGATCCTATCAGAATTCCACAGTTAAGCGTACTTGGACGGAAGTAATATTAACATAAGTATCCTCTTAGGAACTCCATGTGTTGCACCTTTTGATGAAGCCAACCCACCTAATGTGTGATAAAGACAGATAGTCGTTGTTTATAGTAATAATCGAACTCTTTCATCACACTGAAGTAATTTAATAGGAGGCATCAACACAATTATTTTAAACTAACTCACAAGTTTGAAAGCTTTCTGGCATGAAAACAACTACTCTATTCATCAAAGTTCAAAGTTATACATCTCTCACAATGTTTAGCAATATATAACTAAGTAGGTATTATTGAGGCTAAGACAAAACATGCCTACTTTTACTATTAACTGTGTGTATATGTTCACTTAGTGACAGTGGATTGTTATGTTGCGTTTAACTTTAGCCTACTAATTTACATAGAGCATGATAACATGGAGTAGGTAGCATGAAGAACATGAATGAATCCCTCTAGTGAATCATCAATCCAACAATCTGCTAAGGCTAGAAATATCATTTGTTACAGTTGTATGTGTACCAAAAAGAAACTTGTAATTATATAGTTTCACAGAATGGCTTGTGAGTTGGATCCAACTCCCAAAATGGTTCTTCATGTTTGCTGGTAACAACTAACAGCAATCATATAGTGATTATTAAGTGAAATTTTGTATATACTTTTTCAAGTTTTTACCATTATAGTTTATCTGTTTATTTATTACTTGTTTACTTATTTTTGTGAACTAGTCACTTTAATTTTTTGTCCATCAGTTAAGCTGAAATTGTCATTTGAGAAATGCTAAGTATATCATTAATGACATCTTACCATCACAAATTACAATGTTTTCAAAGGTTAAAGTTTAGTTTATTACAATTCAAAAGTGGAACATTAATTTTTTACCTAATACTTCCACAATTTTTAAGCCCTATAACTATAACTAGAAAGCAAAGCAAAAAAAAAAGCCACAAATAAATCACCCTGAATCACACTTCCACTTACATGTGCAGATAGGTGCAAAAAGCACTTTCAGGCTCTAGCATATGATTTATAAAGTGCACTTCCACTCATGGAGAGATTGCTTTAGCTTTTGGTTTTATATGGTTGGTTAGAAAAGGGACATTGAAAATAAGAGAATCCATAAAAATAAATAACAAAATGGTAGTAACTAGAAAGAATAAATGACCAAGAAACTCTTTACATAGGTTACAATCTACCACTATCCAAGGCATGCATAAAAAATATGGTCCTTAGTTAAGGACACAGAACAATGTCATAACCTTACAAAGTCACTATCATTGAGCAGACAACAATAACTAAATAGTGATTTCATTAGTTACTTGCCAAACAATAGAAAACTATGGGGTGGTGATGATAATTAAAGTAATTCTAAGTCAATGAAATTAGATAGAACTACAACAATTGCTAAGTTCTTGAACAACGGCTTCCACGGTAGGTCTCTCAAAAGAAGACTCATGGGAGCAAAGTAAGGCCAACTTTGCAAGTTTAACTGCCTCATATTCAAAGAATCTTCCATGCAGATTAGGGTCAATAAATTCTTCAAGACTGAAGGATTCTGCTGCAAGGCGCATTGAGTTTGTGACCTTCTTCTTACCTGTGAGAATCTGGAAAAGAAGCACACCGAAAGCATATACATCACTTTTCTCCGTGAACCGGCCAGTAGTTGTGTATTCAGGAGCCAGGTAACCCTTTGCTGCACTAGCTTTCAGTTCAGAGAAGACAATATCATTAGTGAGCAGCTTGTACAGACCGCAATCTGAAACAAATGGGTTGTACCGCTGATCAATGAGCACCTTCTCAGCTGAGATGTTTTGGTGAACAAGGGCGGGTTTGTTTGCTTTATGAGCATGTAAATATGCTATACCTGGTTAAGAAAACAAGGGTCAGTATACACATGAAGAACAAAAAGCATAAGAACTGCATTGAATAATAAAACGACCACTTTGTCAAAATGAATGCTTTTAACCATAGGCATTGCTGAGAAGCCAACCCCTTAAGCAACGTTGCAACTAAGAGGCCCTCCCAGTATATGCCTTCACAAAACAAATATGAATTCATACAAAACCAACTATATGTTTTTATATAACATATAGTACTATATGTAATGGCGCTGAGCCACTGACATAACTTGAAGCATCTTTGACTAGTAGTGGGAAAAGAAATGCTCTCAGTTATTTACCAACTGGTCCCTTTTTTACCATGCTCATGGTTTACATATTAGAGTGTCTCATAAATTGATCAACTTGGAAAGCAAATTATTTCAGTGTAGGTAAGGATAGAAGAGTAACCTTTAGCAACTCCTTTGGCAATAGAAACTCTTGTCGACCATTCAAGGACTTCCCCATTACCTTCTTTCACATCAAGGTAGCGCGACAGGTTTCCATTAGAAACAAAATCATAAATCAGGAAGCATTCACCTCGTCCCCTCGAACAACAAAATCCTCTCAATCTCTCAATATTATCACTCTGCAGCGAGGTCAAAATGTTCAATCCCTTCAAAAAGTCAGCCTCATCTGATTTGCAACTAGTTTTACTGACGCTCTTAACAGAAACAACAGATCCATCTCTTAAAACTCCTTTATAAGTTGCACTGAAGTTACTCTTACCCAACAAATTCAGCTCTGAGAAATACTGAGTAGCTGACTCAACTTCTTCCAAGTTGAACCTAAAATTCTGGAACATATCTTGGCTATCCCCATTGAAAGTCATGCTATCGGCCATCGGGTCCCATCCTTTAGAGTACTCAAGGCTAACCAAAGGGGACCCATTTTTCCTGTATACAACCTTACCTTGATCAGTACTTAGACGACTTTCAGAGATGTTAAAAGCATTTCCAAGCCTCTGTTTCCGTCTACGATACAGTACGAAGGTCAGAATACCAATTGCTGACAATACAAATGTAGCCAGAATAATGCCAATTTTCGCTTGTCTGGATTTTGAATAACTCCGGCTCCGAGTTCCATTGCAAGGCAACTTTACATTTGCAGTTTCTGGGATATCTCTTGTTAGACCATCGACTCCTGCTCCTAAAGGTTCAGGTCTGGTGGAATTGACATGATCTGAAGCACCACAGGCTTTCAAGAATGAAAACCCAACTCCACACAACCCCGAATTGTGTTCATACACAAATGCATCCAGTCTCTTCAGAGCTTCATTAAACCAAGGAAAGAAAATACAAGTGTTTTAGATTGACTGATCATTTATAAAGAAATCGACCGAACCAACAAAAATAAAATCTAAGAAGTAGCATCACTATTACCAAGAGGTACGTTCCCGGAGAGACTATTGTTGTGAACATCCAAAACTTGAAGTGAAGGAACATCAGCCAATCTAATGGGAATGGAACCAAAGAGGTGATTAGAGCTCAAATCTACTCTCATCAACGTTCCCAAATCACCAAGACTAGCAGGGATAGCACCGGTTAATCCATTTGACTGAAGAGCAAGAACATTAAGCTTTTTCAAACCACCAAATTGTGTAGGAATGCTTCCTGTTAATTGATTATAACAAAGCTGCAAAACTACAAAGCAAAAAGAAAACAAAGGCAAAATTAGCACACTCCCAAATTTGAACCACCAATCAAACACTATTTCCATGCCGAGGCTAAAGAAAACAACAACTTCAATTCTGCAGAACAAATTCTAAATATAGAGAAGGCTAGTAAAAGTGATGGCTGTCTATAGTAATATGTTTAAATTTTTGTGTACAGTTGTAAGTAATATGTATATTTACTAATTTTGACTATGTATTAAATCTTCATTTCAAAGACAATAGGCTTATAATAACACTACCCCTTCATCCCCTAGTTGTTCAAAACAAGGTTGAACAAAATCGTGGTTATAAAGGAGATTTCCTTAAAAACATGTTCACTACCAAAGAGTAGAAAAGTATTAAACACTAGAATTTAATTTCCCTTTTCATGAATTAACTATTTTGGAACCTTGGAAATCAAGAGAACCAAATCTTTTTAGAAGGGAAATATTAATGGAAAGTCAATCAATAATAGCAAGCTCAAATCCTTCACTAACCCCATAACAAATCATCATAAAAATACATACAAAAATAAACAAGTTTTCATTATGGGACCATGTCAAGCAAAAAACTTAAAGTTTCAAACTTTTCAAAAAATAATAACAGAACTGTTTACCTTGCAGATTCTCCATTACACCAATCTGTGGTGGGATTTCTCCAGAAAGGTGATTGACATTCAAATACAAATCAGTTAGCTGAGTCAAGTTTGCAACTTCTTTTGGTATCTCTCCATACAAAGAGTTATAATGCAAGTAGAGTCCTGTTAAGTGCTTGAGAGCACCAATTGATGGTGATAATTTTCCAGATAGGCCTTTTCCTTGCAAAGAAATATTTGCAACTAGACCCTTTTCATTGCAAGCTACTCCTTCATATGAACCATCACATAAGTTTCCATTCATAGTCCATGAAGAAAGGTAATTGTTTTCTGGATCCAAAGAGGTTTTCAAGTCCATGAGTGCTCTAAGCTCATCATTCCCATATACCCATGATGGGTTGAAGAGAAGAGAGAAAAGTAAAGGAAGAAAATGTAGTAAACAACCCCACATATTCAGTTAGTGGATGAAAATGGTTGAAGAAGATTGAAGAACAACAAGGTGAGTTGTTTTTTGAAATCAAAATCTTGTTGTGTGTACCTCTTTGACCAGGTTCTGTGTTTGAAAATAGGTTATGAGAGAGGTTGGTGGAGGAAGTGACAAAAGATGCAGTGAAGAGGACAGGACAGGAACTAAAGTTTGGAGAGATAAAAAGGTGATATCAACTGTTATGGTTGAGTTTAAGATACCATTCACAAAGTTGAGTTTGATAAACTTCATTCATATAGATATATGAGTTATAATAAAGATTTATACTCACCTACACTATTCACTCCATTCTCTTTCATTATTATATAAAACTCATACATTATTAGATCATATAAAATTTAAAAATATTTCTAATCATAAATTAATTTATGTCACAATCGCACTAACTACAACCATATCATTGTCATAACCGCAATTTAAAATCTTTATTTATTTATTAAAGGAGTTCAA